AGCCCTGATTCTTTCTCATCTTGGCAGACACCTACTCCTTGGAAAGTACATCTTTGTAAGCATGGACAGTCCAAACACTGGCTATGATGAGGCAAAGGTGCACTATGTTTGAGATGGTGGACCTTATGTCGATCATCCACCATGTCTTCATATTTACCAGGTCTGGCAAGTGTATATCGAGAATAGTTCTGGAAACCAAGAGACAATGCAGAGAGTTGCTTCAGCGTGGCTCCTGTATGTTTCTCGTGACCTTCGTGTAATTCAGTTGCTTCGGGTTGCCAGCTGCCTTGATGTCTGCTCTGCCAGTCACTTGCCAAATTCCTGATGCTGCCATCTTCCCGCTGTGGAGGATTAGTGTGAAGTTCCTCAAAGCTGTGTGCTGAGCTGCTTTTCCTGACAATAGTGCTGCCCCCTTTAGGCCCCACTGAACTGGATGTATTCCCACCTCTGCTTTCTGAGGGGATTGCCCTCATCTTTTCTTCCGCTGACTTCTGAGCAAGTAAATAGGACTTTGTCTTTGCTCGGAGTTCATCAGCCACCGAGATCTGGTCACAATTAACTCTTTCCGGGTGGTAAAATTTACATTTGTTGCCATATGTACATTTTTTGCCTGGGAAGAAAAAAAAAAAAGGTGGATGATTAGCTAACGCGTGTCCATTACATCATTCAGAATACGTGGCTAGTTAATGGAAATGCTCTAAGCCCAGGATTTTCCTGGAAGTGCCCCATGTCTCTCACAGGAAAACCCCATCATGCCTGTAAAATAACCTGAGCATTTCTGTTTGTCAGATAGAGCAGAAGCACCTCTGGTACTCTGACTGTATGAAGGTATAGATTGACGAATGTGAAGGAAGAGTGTGGTATGTATCACAAGCTCAGATCCAGTCCCTGGATTCAGTGAGGCCATTGCCTTGCCATCTTACTGGAGAAGGAAGAATGATCCACTCAACTCGCTTGCTGTCTCCACTGCTTTGCTATGTATGCAAATATTGATGGCCTGCCTTTCCATTAGTTAAATCCACAGCACAGCTAACTAAGTCCTTCAAAATCATAAGAACATAAGGAGAGCCCTGCTGGATCAGACCAGGGGTCCATCTAGTCCAGCATCTTGTCTCACACAGTGGCCAACCAGTTCCTCTAGAGCGCCAACAACAGGGAATAGAGGCTGAGGCCTTCTGCTGATGTTTTTCTCCTGGCTCTGGAATTCAAAAGGATTAGTGCCTCTGAATGTGGAGGTTCCCCTCAGTCGCCATGGCTAGTAGCCACTGATAGCCTTATCCTCCATGAATCTATCTAATCCCCTTTTAAAGCTGTTTATTCCTGTGGCCATCACTAAGTCCTCTGGCAGCAAATTCTTATACAAATGAAAGAAATTAAAACAACACCACGCAACAAGAACAAACATAACACTCCTTTTAGACCATGTTTTCCAAGCCCTGCTCTCTGTACCCCAACCTGCGGAGGTGAGAAATGTGGTGACCAGATTCAGGACTTCTTCAGCACTGCCACCTTAAGGCTTGCCTGGTGCCACAGACTCAGAGCCACTCACAAAAAATGTGTCCCACATCACCATCCACTGTTCTTAAAATTGGGGAGGGGGGGCACACGGAGCACACTTATGCTTGCCAGTCGCCTGCTGGCAGCAAGCAATCCCCTGTCCTCAATAACCTGAGGAGCAAGAGGGGGGATGGCATGGATGATGACATCACATCCTCTTGAAGATCCCACCCTCCCTAAGCACTGCCCCCCCTCCCAGCCTGGGGCTGGGTATCCTAAGCATACTGCCCCTGAAGATCTTCATGTGTGAATAGGTTCATAGGTGAAAGTGGTGTTAAGAGTATCTTGCAGCCCAAAGGATCTCCTGAATCCTGTATGCGCAGCGTTCAGCAAATTAATCACAGCAGGTCACAGAGAGTTCTTCTGGCTCCCTCTGCCAGTCCAGTTGTAATAAGAGTGACTACTCGGAATGGCTCTTCCTTGATGGCACTGGGAACACAGGACAGCAGTGCAGTGAAACAAGCAGTGCTGGTGGTGAAGCTTCTCTGGAAAATAAACCCAACCTCTTTTTAGGCCAGAGTCATCATGACTCTTCCACGTCACTTGAGCAATCATCCTTGCCATTTTATTATCTGTGATTGGGCACTGAAGAGTGGGAGCAGTGATGTCAGCCATCCATGACAGTTTTACCCATCTGAGAAGTCATCCAGGCTTCCTAAGCAGTTCCCCACCCTGGTGGCATTTCAGAGTTCCCGAGGCTGGACTCCACCAAGTAATGGCCTGTTCACAACCAAGGAGCTTTATTAAGCTCCCCTCTCCCAGGTTATGGAGCTGCGGTGGCTCAAGTGGTTAAGGCGCTGAACTGCAGGCTGTGGAAGGTCAGTAGTTCAGCAGTTCGAGACCCGAGTGTGCCGCATGACGGAGTGAGCTCCCGTCTCTAGTTCCAGAACAAATGAAGAATCTGACCTGCCAGGAGTGTAGGGCCAGGCATAACTGCAAGCTTTTCCTATCTGAAGCTGTAGTAATTGAGCGCAGCTTTGTAGGTTCACTCAGGATGTGGCATCTGACATTTTCATACTGTCTGGAGGTGACCTCTATGTAAAGAGATGCAACTCACAAAGTAATCGTTTAACTGGCAAGATACGCAGAAGTATATTATTTATAGCATATCTCACTTAAATTCCCTTTCTGTGTGCTAAGCATCACCATGTGGAGCAAAAAAAAAAAGTAGCTACCATGTTCTCATTGTAAATGTAAAGCTGCCTCAAATTACCAGCCTCTTTGTTAGGTGGAACTTACCGTAGCATTAATATTAGCACCACTGCACTCACCTCAAAAAAGAAAGAAAAAATGCTGTTAAGTTACCTCCACACCTGAGAGGAGACAACTGGAGAGTCTCAGTTTACTTCCCACAATTAGAAAGGATACCTTTACACATTTATCCCCTATTCTGACATATTTATTGCTTTGCTGTCCTTTCCCCCCTTAATTAAATCAAAACAACTGTTGACCTAATAAACTTAGCTTGTTATTTAGTTTTGTCTTTGCATATCTTAAAACATCTTCACAGAGGATTTATCCTCTGGTTAGTAACATCTGAACTGAACAGTACGGCTGTCAGTTCTAGCCCCGTGCTGGTGTGAGCTACCAGCCTTGTCCCTAGCTCGCTGTCCACCCAGCGGTTCGAAAGCTTCGACGAGTAGATAAAATGGGTACCACCCCTTAGAGAGGGTGGGCACACTAAACACCCCGGTGGGGGAGGTGTTAGCCGGTGAACGGAATGTCCAGCACGTAAGACTGAAAAGCCTACAAACCCTTGCCGACTGTGAATGTGTGTGATTTAAAAGATATATGTTGTCCTCCCTTACCCCCATAAATCATTGTTAGTCCCGCGTGAATGAGTAACTGTAAATCGCTCAGAGCCAGCAAGTTCTGCAGGATTGAGCGATTAATAAATTGAAAGATTATCATTATTATTATTTTACATATTAATTTGTTGTTTAGCCCCTGCCTATAAATTTGAACCTTATCTTCATTCCAGTGTATTTGATAAAGTGTGCCTTGCACATAAAAGCTCATACATTGAATAAACCTTTGTCGTTCTTAAATGTGCCACTGGGCTCTAAATTTGTTCTGTGCCTGCTCCTGCCTTACCATGGACCTGAGTGACCTCATGATTACCAGGAGAAGCAAGTTAATGCAGATGCATTTTTTTTTGCTTTTTATGCTATGTAAAATCCACCTTTAGTCTCAATGAGAAAGGCAGACTAGAAATAAAATGATTTTTTTTGTATTTATAGTGTAGTGTCTGAAGAGAATCTCTGATATTTCCAGATGGAAATACATGCAAGCTTTAGATGCCAGGGAAGCTTGTACATATCTCTACAGGGGAGAAGACAAGCTCCCCGTTTCAGCTTTACAGGAAGCACAAATAGCAACTGTGTGAATCACTATTTGCATATCTTTCTATAGTATTGGAAGTTCCTTTTATTATGGATTTCACAAACTAGGTAGATGATTGACTGTGTAAGGCACCTGCAAACCTACCGTAAGGGCAGAGCTGCCATTTTCGTTCAGGGGTCAGTGGCTTTTTGCTCAAAAAATTGGCAAGAGAAGGTCCATGTCGGCCCAAGGGATCATCCGGAGGCATAAATCTAAAACATAATTATCACAGTTAACTGAACAGACATCAACTTGCTGTTTTCTGAAATATATGTAAGTTCATCATAAAGTTTCTTGGAGTCATTTTAATACATTATTCAGGCCATTCATCAAACAGATTCCCCGTGTATGTACAACTCCTACTTAAGTGGGAAGAGAGATGGACATACAGACCTATATAATCCACACAAATCATAACTGGCAGGGGATGGGGTGAGAGCAAAACTTGTACTCAAAATTAGTACTGTCAGTTTGTGCTTTGGAAACCCATAAAGCAAATATGGTTGCAATGATTACATAAAACCATTAAGTGGGAAAAGCATATCGAAGCTATACATGTCAATTTTATAACTTAAATTGCCTGTCAGATACTACTCTGGCCAATCCCAGTTCTTTCCCCAATGAATTGTGTAGTACATTTCGCCACAGAAGCAGCTGATGGATAAGTGAACATCATATAGCACTAACTAAATACATGCAACTATATGATGTATGCTCCAAAGTTACCTGCCTTTAAGTGCCATTGATTGCAAAGGAAGAGATTTAAACCCCTGATTAATACTCCAGTTGAAATAAGTAGGCTTTAACAGTAGGCAGCGTCATCTCCATTTTGTAGAAACTGGTATTTTCTTAAGTTTGCTAGGCCTAAAGTGGCTATCTAGTGTGTTTTCATAATCACTTTCTGGCCTTGTTGACATAATGATGCTTTGCCTTACCTGTTTTCTGTCTGTGTTTGTGTTCTAATGTCCACTGATAATGAAGAATGTGAAATGACTTACAGTTTAATTTGTAAAAATTATTTATTTAGTATATTTTTTATCCTGCCTTTCTTCTAAGGCATCCAGGGTGACATACATTGGTCTCCCTCTTCCACTTTACCCCCACAACAGCCCTGTGAGGTAGGTTAGGCTGAGGCTAGACTGAAAGAAAGAGAGTGAACCAAGGTAACCCAGTGAACATTCTTGACAGAGCTAAGATTTGAACCTGGGACTCCATGGTCACAATCTAACATGTTAATCACTCTAGGAAGCGTGAGTCTTCTGTTAGATTCTGTTTTTTGCTTCAGAATTGCTTCAACTCTGAAGGTTCATTCAACCCTCAGACTATTTTGTAATCTAATTAATGGCCCCGGTCACACGGGAGGCTTAGGGCCGGAAGAGGGATGGATCGGGGGCGCAGCAAACGGGCACGATCCCACCACATCTGGGAAGCGGGGCCCCCCCACCCCCGATCCGGCCCTACAGGCCGAAAATGCGCATCACAAAAGAACCTGCAAAAGAGCAGGACTTACCTGAAACGCCGCAGCAAGCACGGCCGTGGGATCGCCGGCGCACCCGTCTTCAGGAGCATTCGAGGCTCCTGGCCGAACTGCGCATGCACATGCATGCGCCGCCGACTTCCTCATTCTCCCTTCAGTGGCTTCCCCCCCCCAGCATCTGATCGTGCCAGGGACTAACTGCGCGGCGGCTCAGGGGATCTATCTGATCCCACCGCCGCGTGTCTCTTTTAGTGCGGCTCTAAAAAGCCGCACTTTGCCCGTGCTTCCCCCCCCCATGTGGCAGGGGCCAATGTTTAGCTTCCAAATTCCTCAGAAGCTTATCTAGATTTGCTCTGTGAGAAGGTCAGTAATGTCAGAAATGCTTTCCTCAATGACTTGTCCACTATGACCAGTCTTCCTTTCAAGTGTTGAACTACAGGAAAGTATTGGGTATGTTCTAGGTCTTCCTCTCTGGTTCGTGCACTTCAAAGATAATGACTCGGCCAGTTCCCTGTATGGACTAATTGTGCATCCTTGCACATGCTCCAGAATTTTCTGCAGGGCCTTTGTGGCTCAGGGCCTCAGTAAGGCAGTCAATGTTGAAGGAATTGTTGAAGGTGGAAAGTTTGAAAACCACCCAGATAAAGGTAATGCTCCGTCTTATTTATGTGTATGTATGCGCAGGGTTGGCCCTGGCTAGTATTTGGATAGGAAACCTCCATGGAATACCAGGGTTGTGAAGTGGAGGCAAGCGGTGGCAAACCACTTCCAACTATCTCTTGCCCTACTAGGTAACCATAAATCAGCTGTGACGTGACAGCACTTTCCACCACCATGTGCCCATGAGTGAGACATGAAGCCATTCAGCAGATACCACCCCTAGGATAACCAACTAGGTCACAGATGTAGAAAAATTACTGCTTTACCAAAAGCAAATTCCATGAGTTATGTCATTGTTGCAAGTAATATTTTTTTAGAATGCAAAGAAAAGTTCTAAAATAATGCCTTTTTTAAAAAGCCAACTCCTTTCCTGCTAAATGAGGGAAACTGCAATTGGCCATGATAGGGTTAGGCCTCCAGAAGAGATCCAATATGAGATGATGGTTGCAAATATTCTAGGTAGGGTCTTACATGTCATTGACGAAGGAATACATGAGCAGTCGCTGCTCAATGAACCACTTCCACTCCGGATTTTCGTTCTGCAGGTCCCGAAAATTGTCATTGGAAACAATGACCCCGTCTTGCTCATATGCCAGTTTAACTATGTAACGGTCGTCATAGCACACCATCCTCTTGCCTTTCATTTTGCGGGATGGTGTATATACAAGAATGGCTTGCTTTGCAAGTTTCTCAAGGATATGCTGATCTAAAAGTCAAAATAAAGGAGATGTCACTTTTTTAATCCGAGGAGACGCCAAATGCCTATAAGGATTTAAATAACCTTAAATATCACACCAAGAATCCTCAAAGTGTTTGAAGCCCTCTGTAAATGCAGAAACAGCACATTCTATTTTACATTCTAGCATTTGGATTTAAACTAATTTTAATTCCACTGACTTCAGTTCAACTGGAATGTGAATTGGACTGTATATTACCTGGATTTTAGCTGTCCAGAAGAGGAGGAGGAGATTGGATTTATACCCTGCCCTTCACTACCCAAAGGAGTTTCAGAGTGGCTTACAAACTCCTTTCCCTTCCCCTCCCCACAACAGACACCCTGTGAGGTAGGTGGGGCTGAGAGAGCTCTTGACAGAAACTGCTCTTTTTCAAGAACAGCTCTGTATCAGAACTACGGCTTGCCCAAGGTCATCCAGCCAGGTGCAAGCGGAGGAGTGGGGAATAAAACCCAGTTCTTCCAGATTAGAGTCCGCACACTTAACCACTACACCAAACTGACATCAGAAGTGTCATCTGAAGCATGTGTTCCTAGGAACAAATCTTTTGCGAGTCTTAATATTTTAAATCTGCTCTAGGAAACATCCCTACCTGCAATAGGATTATCATATCTTGTTGGCTCCTTTCTCCAAGAAGGGACAAAGACTTTGATGTATTTGTGACCTCTGTTCTTGAACCAGTCCACCACCAGCTGAATTCCCATGCATGAAAAAAATTCCTTATTTCCATGGCTGCAATTAAAAACAAAAGAAAATATGCTTACAGGTCAGAAATGTCTGCTGCCTTCTCATAGTTTCTACTTCTATCTCTTCAGTATATGAAGTCTTCAAGCACCACTGGCATGCCTCTTTGAAACTGAGGGCAGGAGCCTGTTACATCTAACATTCACCTCCCACTATCCGCACTATGATGTATTCATTCTGAGCATGACTTGTACACTTTCTGGGGCTTTCCCCTTTAAACCAGATTTTTTTAAAAAAGCAAAACCTACTCTGACCTGGTCCAAAGAGTAACTGCAGGGTGGCTGTAGACACAACCAGGGCTATTTTGGGGCAGTTTTTTTTATGCACAGGAATGGTGTGCTGGCTGGCTTCAGAGTTGGCCACGCCCACTACAGCCAAAACCTCTGCATGCGTGGCTACAGAGGGAAGGCCTGGAGAGTGGACCGCCCCCTGCGACTCCGAGTTGGGTGGGCCAGGGGGCCCCCTGGAAGGATCAGGGAGGCATTTAAATTCTTCCTCGTGCCTTCCCCGGCCTGTCCAAAGGCCTGCTTGCCCGGGCAAGCCAAGGGAAGGTGCTAAAAAAAAGCCCTGGACACAACTAATACAGGAAGTGAGGGAGAGATCTAAGCTCTGCTTTCAAAAGGCCTGTTCCACTTTCCCAGCCAAGCAGTGCTGTAGCCTCTCAGGGCAGCTCAGCAGTGAAAGTGAAGAGGAAAGAGGGGTTTCTGGGCTGCATGCAAGGCATCCATTGTGATGACCATCAATGTTCCCTCTAAGCTGTGGAGTCCTGTGAGCAAACATTCTACTTTGTGAGCTACAGGCATGAAAGTTGTGAGCGAGCGATTTGGCTGCTGCATACATTATTTTGCTCTGGAGCCCTCCTTCCTGAGCCAACGCAAAAATGTGTGAGCCAGAGGCTAAAAAACAGTGAGCTAGCTCACACTAACTCAGCTTAGCGGGAACCCTGATGACCATCTAATCTATGCTTTTGCACAGGGATGACATAGGAAAAGACTGAGAGGTGGGGTAGCCCAATAGGTATAAATGTTTGCACTCTTGTGTAGATGCAGCCTTAGTCAGCTTCTCAGAAGCAGTACTAAGATACTTTTGCAAACTAGCAACCCCAACTTGCCCAGAGACACCAATCAAATGGCCTTTCATGAGCATGAAACAGGATTGCTTCTGGGATGCTGAGACAGGCAGGTAAGCAAAAACTATATTTTAAACAACCCAGGGCTTCAGAAAAGAAAAATTGAAAAGTATATTTCTTAATCTGGGAGAATTTTATACTGTAAGGATTTTGTTGGTGGTAATGATTGCCTTTTAAAATGTTTCTTGAAATCATATTAGGCTGAGGAAAGTAATTATTTGGTTTTAGCTAGGATTTGTGTACAGCATAACTATACTCAAACTTATTCCAGGTTCTGAAATAACTCAGTGGTGCTATTCTCATTGCTCAATTCCGCTTTGCTCTTGAATCTCCTGGGTACTGATTATTGCTTCCATTGTATGTCATACAGAATTCAAAGTGCACAGCAAATTTCTCTTTGCATCTCAGTCTGTTAAATCTAGAGCCAGAAGGTGCCTCTATGTGGCTGGGGCCTGATTGCACACTTGCACCGCTTTTACAGTGTAGAGATAACCACTGAACAGAGATGAGTCATTAGCCCTTAACTTTGCTGGTGATGTTTCATCTTTCAGTCGCATTCACTCCCCTGGAATATGCAATTGAAGATGTCTGAGTGAGTTTAGGGCTTATGCAGGACAATCCGCCACGTAACAGCAGTCAGGGGTGGATTTAGCTTTTTACAAGGAGAGTTGCACCTTTAAAGAGCACAGTGAAAGGGATGAGAAACAGAAAGGGAGATGCGATCGGTGGGTAGGAAAAAGCATAACAAAAGGGATCACTTGTCATCTCCACAAGTCATGTAGTGTGGAATAAACAATGGAGTTCATATATCTGGTTGTAATAGACTGCGGCCCGCAGAAGGCCATTCTCAAAGCACAATTCTGGAGCCCACGCAAGAGACAGAAACAAGACTGCAAACAGCAGGCCCAATGAAGACAGAGAGGAGGCTAATTGGCCAGATGGCTGCTAAATGGCTGTCAGACCATTCCGAGTGCTGGCAGTGCAGTATAACAACTTAACTACAGCAGCACTGTTATGTCTCAGTAGCAGTATATGTACACTATAGACTTGTGTTCATTTTCATACCAGGTTAACTCTCATGGCAGTCTCCTAAAGAATGCTGGGAACTATGGAGAGGGTAATGAGGGTCCTACATTATTGATCCCCCAGCCTGTTTTGAGCAAACTTCAGAGGACGGCGGAAGACAGGAGGGCCTGGTGGGTGCTGGTCCATGGGGTCGCGAAGAGTCGGACTCGGCTGTGCGACTGAACAACAAAAGCCTGTTTTACGGAACTAAAATTCCCACACAGTTTCTTGACAGAAATACTACTAAACCAATTTAAGTATGTCATAGACACATGGCCCCTACTGGGAACTCTTACCCCAGCACATTAAAGAGTTCTATTGTGTTTTGTTGTGTTTATTCCTGATAGGGAGACAGTGCCTCCCTCCCCTGCCTGTGTTTCACATTTCTTTTAAGCACAAAACTACAACTTTGAAGCTCCTCTTTGTGCCAGCTACCAACTTCTGGCTTTATAATCAGGACGTTTGCTGTACACACAGAAACAGTTATTGTAACCAAGAACATGTATCTCAGAATGTAATTTGGCATCAAAGCAGACTGTGCGACTGAACAACAAAAGCCTGTTTTACGGAACTAAAATTCCCACACAGTTTCTTGACAGAAATACTACTAAACCAATTTAAGTATGTCATAGACACATGGCCCCTACTGGGAACTCTTACCCCAGCACATTAAAGAGTTCTATTGTGTTTTGTTGTGTTTATTCCTGATAGGGAGACAGTGCCTCCCTCCCCTGCCTGTGTTTCACATTTCTTTTAAGCACAAAACTACAACTTTGAAGCTCCTCTTTGTGCCAGCTACCAACTTCTGGCTTTATAATCAGGATGTTTGCTGTACACACAGAAATAGTTATTGTAACCAAGAACATGCATCACAGAATGTAATTTGGCATCAAAGCTGTTACTGACATAGTATGAGCTGTGGCATATTTTAGCTCAATGAAAGCAAGAAATTGCAAGTAGATAAATAGGGACCACTTCGGTGGGAAGGTAACAGCGTTCCGTGCGCCTTGGTGTTTAGTCATGCCGGCCACATGACCACGGAAACGTCTTCGGACAGCGCTGGCTCTTCGGCTTTGAAACGGAGATGAGCACCGCAACCCTAGAGTCGGATTCGACTGGCTTTCGAGCAAGGGAACCTTTACCTTTACCTTAAGGCCAGTTCACATTGCGTCTCTTGCTTCATGAATGCAGCAGCCTGACTGCCTGGATGGCTTACTTGTGTGAATGAGCCACATCGCAAATCAAATGTCTTGATTAAGAGCTTCGGTATCATCCCACATCACTTGAGATACAATACTGTTCAAAGAATCTGCTCAGTCCTATTACATTGCTTATTAGATGTGTCATCCTATTGATTGGATTGATATACATTGTGTAATCTGCCTTGAGTCAATAGTATATTGGAATGCATTTCTGTGGTCTGGTGACAGAGGAGACATAACACTGCACTACAGATCACCCCACCTCAAAGGAAAAGATGCTACGAGTTACCTCCAGGCTTGAGAGGAGACAGATTGAGCATAACAACAAGGTCTAAGTTAATAACCCTTAGCACCCCACAATTAAGAATGATACATTTACACACCTAGCTCCAATTCTGACATATTTATGTGCTTCATTGTTTCCCCCCTAAATCCATACAATGGTGACCTTATAAACTTAGCTTGTTATTCCTGTTTGCATCTGTTAAAACATCTTCATTACGTTATATGCTAATTTGCTGTTTAACCTCTGCCTTATATGTATGGACTGGTAAATTCAATTAAAAATACAGTTAGAATGATAAAACAATTCAATTGAAAACACATAAACAAACAACACTAGAAGGAGGGCCAGTATCTGTTATTGGAGGTATGCCAAACAAAACAAAAAAAGTTTTCACCTGCTGATGAAAGAGACCAACAGAGGGAGACAGACAAAGCTCCCTGGGGAGAGAGTTCCAAAGTTTTGGTGCCACAACTGAGAAGGCCCTTTCTTGGAGTGCCACACGTCTATCTTCAAATGGCAGGGGCAAGCAAAGCAAGGCCTCTGAAGATGCCCGGGCTTTACAGGTAAGTTCATATGGGAGGCTATGGATCCATAACCTTGATATTAGGGCTCAGGAAGGGTGAACCTGGCAAAAAGTCTGGTTGTTGTGGTGCACCAATCCCATGAACTTCAGTACCTAGCTTAGGGTTGCCAGCTCTGGGATGAGAAATGCCTGGATATTTGGGGGTGGAGCCTCTGGAGGACGAAGTTTAAGGGAGGTGGAACTTCAGTGAGGTATGATACCACAGACGCCACACTCCAGAGCAGCCATTTTCTGCAGGGAAACTGATCTCTGTAGTCTGGAGATCCACGGTAATTCCAGGAGATCTCCAGGCCCCACCTGGAGGCTGTCAACCCTATTTTCAACATTCAAGTCTTTTTAAAGTGTTTAATGCTTTTAATAACGGGGGGGGGGGGCATTGCTGGACTCTCCATACAACTCAAGGTGCAATCTGTCTCTGAGGGGCGTACTAGTTTCTGGTGTGACACCAGAAGGGACAGTGATCTGTCCACACACACATATCTAAACCCAAGGGTGCATTCTTCAAAATTCTATTGAAGATAGTTTCATGGCCCTACGAAAGCTAAAGAGATGGAGAAACTACTTAGGTTAACAAAACAGAAAAAAAGCTTGCCTCATGGCGACATTGCTGCCATCAATCACAATGGGTCTCAAGTCTGTGGCAGGATGACTGGCTTCCTCAGTAGATTGTGGAGAGATAGCCAGGGCCTTGCATGACGCTTGAGCGACAGGCCTGGAGTGAAATGGCTGCATGCAGTACTCAGGTTCCTGAATCCTGCTGCTGCTTCCCATCTGAATCAGCTCTTGCAGTAAGTCGTTTTCAGAGGCCTCCTGGCCTAGCTTCTCCAGTACTTTGCCAACTTGCCCCTTGCTGTAGCCCAGCTTGCAGAAAAATTCCAGCTTGCTCTGTTGTGTTTCCATTTCTGTACAAGGACAAGGATGCCTCACAGCATATGCAATTGCCTGTCGGAAGGCAGAGATCCAGCTATGGGGGTGTGCTTGCCTTTGAGGGGATATTTCCACTCGACAGAGTTGATCCAGTGCAGCCACTTTTAAAATGCATCTACTTAATGGAGAAACAAAGAAAAGAACAGTTTAGTAATCAGGCACGGAGGAACTACTCATGCTGGCTACAGCAAAAACCTTTGGGGTCTTCACTACATGTCTCTTTAGAGAGGAATACATAGATACTATGGCATTTGGACAGCCAGCCTGGCTCCCTCTATTCATTTTTATATGCTGCCTCTTTAAAGAAAAAATAGTGTATTTCTATACATTTTAAAAATGATAAAATAATGATAAATTAGCCAGATATATTAGCATGTTTACACAAAGTGATAAGACACCATCAACTTCAGTACACATCAACTAAACAAAAGATACAAGACAAAGAAGGCATCCATTCTGTGTGTGCTTTCCATGGCTGAAGAGATGGGGTGCTGTAATGTTTTTGCTCCCAAGAGTCAGAAAACAGCTCTTTTTTCCCCCTTGAGGGGAAACAACACTGACATCTTAATTATTTTCCTCTAAACCTAAACTTTATTCACAATTAGCAAATCTCAAAGAGGTTTTGTTTTCAGGGAAGCTCAGCAGGATAATGTTTGAAAATCCCTCCTGTATAGATCTCAGACCACATAAGTTACCTTCTGACTTACCAGAGGACTGCAGCTTTTCACCAGAGGCTCTGAGCACAACTAAGCTCCTTTCTTATTAAATATATATCCTCTGGGCAACTAATATTCGTCAGAAGATCAGGTGTGTGCCTAAGATAGGTGTGCAAGAGTGACGTATGCACATATATTTATGCACAGGAACTCCAGGCTTATCTGTCAAGAAAAACATATGAAAAGGACGTAACAAAGGGATAGCACTGTGCAATGCGGTTAGTAAAATGCAGATATCATCTCCCTGACTTTCTGCTAATCTCAGATACCACAAGTGCTTAGCAACAAGTAAACATGGTAACCTGGCCAGTTGATGCTGGGGACATGCGTTATTGGCAACTTGTGAAAACAACTCATGAGTTCAGAATTTTTTAAAAAAATATATAGCAGAACAGGATGCTGCAGCCATTCACTTTTCATGAGCATTGTTGATTTGTGCAGCATCTCTCCCCCCCCCCCCCTTTAAGACTCTGTGCTCTCAAAACTACTGTAATCCAGACAGGTCACATCATGCAACAGAATGAAGACCCTGCCTTTTGGAGACAAATCTGAGGACTCTTTAAGGGCAACCAATTTTTCTCCCAAAAATGCCACTAACACCATCAGCTCAAGTGTTCCAGGAGTACAAAAGGGAAGCACCTCCAAGATGAAGTCCAGCAGGTGTGTTGTGTGTAGGCTTGTTCTAAGGTGGCACCATCTTGTCCAAGGACAGTACACTTCAGGAAGACTGCAGGTAACCTGTACACCCAGCACCATCTTGCAGGCTCTTCTCATCGCCAGCAGAGAAAAGACTCAGGCAGCAAAAGGCCTGGCTGGAATGGCCTCTAGTGAAAGGGGCTGCCTATATAGATTGGAAGCCTGTGGAAGGGGTTCGGGTAGGGTTGCCAGGTTCCCCTGGTCAATGGCGGGGAATGGAATGGCAGGGTTACCAGTTTCAGGCTGGGAAACGCCTCGAGATTTGGGGAATAGAACCTGGGAAAAATAGGGACCTCAGTGGGGAAAAGGTTAAGAGTACAATAGCACGGACTTCCGGTTTAAGTGTTTCGCTGCTTGGACGCGTCCTGTCTCGCTCTGATGGAGACGCGCCGAGACCCGGCTGACGGGAGGGGTCTGAGTTTGTCCCGGACCCCCCGGGGTCTTTGTAGGAGACCCCCAGCCTGGGGAGCTGAGAAGAGCCTCTTCCAAGGCAACTGTTGTGTCTTTACCATTGACATGTAATGTTAAGCTTGAAAAAAAATGAGGACTTAAAAGAACTCTTGGCGGCTGCCTTGGCCCCCGTTAATGGATTACAAACAAGAAGATTTAATAAAAGATATGGATGTGGCCTATAGGACTTATCCAGATTTTATAAAGAAAAATAAATTACCTGGGGAAATCTATCTGAAATTCATGAAACGATCTACCAGAGAACTGGTGCTAAAGTCAACAATGGGAAAATTCTTAAGAATCAAGAATGAAGTAAAAATTTTAAAAGACATCCCTTTCGAAGTTAGAAAACAGAGGCTACTAAATATTTATTAGTAATTGAATCAAATCTTAACATAACGTGTAAGTGATGTGGCTGGAATGGGCTTTTGCTACCTTTTAGGGTTGCCAGCCTCCAGGCATTTATTGAGGTGTTTGTATCATCATAATTGTTACTGTTGGACTTGCGCGAACATGTATGTTATTTTGAAAATACCCCTTGAATTGTATGATTTGCCATGCTGTAAGTTTTAAATTGGGTTCAGAATCCAAGCAACTGCTTAGGGTTGCCAAACCCCCCAGTTTGCCAGGGGTCCCCCGTTTTTGGGGGGGTTTCTACCCGCCCCCGGCCAGATGGCCGGCGGGGGAAGCCCCACACCCACCCCCTCTCTCCCTTTAACTGTGTGAACCCGTGTTTCCTCCCAAGCCTGTGTTTCCTCCCAAGCCCGATCTCCGCTTGAGATCAGGGTTGCAAGGAAATGCCAGCTTCGTGCTCTTAAAAGGGAAATGCGGCTGCTCTTAAAGGGGGAATGCCAGCTCCTTTAAGTGCAGGGAACTGCCGTTTCTGGAGATCCGCCGCGCGGGCGGGTGGGGGGGCGACGGACGTCCCCAACGTGACGTCATCATGTCGTGGATGCCCCGCCCCCTCCAAGAACACCCCTAAAGCCCCCCGCTGGGTGTGGAAGATGGACTTGGCAACCCTAATAGCACCTTAAAGAATAACAAAATTTGTGGTAGGCTTTGAACTTTTGTGAGTCACTGCTCACTTTTTCAGATACCACTATTATCCGCAGAAGTGAGCAGTGACTCACGAAAGGTCATACCCTACCACAAATTTTGTTAGTCTTTAAGGTGCTACTGGAGTCTTACTCTTCTCTACTGCTGCAGACAAACACAGCTACCCATCTTGATCTATCTCAGTGGGGAATAATGCCAGAGTCCACCCCCCAAAGCATCCATTTTCACCAGAGGAACTGGTCTGTGTAGTCTCGGGATAAATTGCAATCCTGGGAGAGCCCCAGGTTTTACCTGCAGGCTGGCGTCCCTAGGTTTGGGCTCTGCTGTGATCGCATAGCACTTGTAGCCAACACTGATAGCAACGACTACTACTCATACTCGTGTTTTTTTATTATTATTGTAAGTTGCTTTGAGGGCCCTTGAACTGAGAGGGTTCAACAATAGTTACAAGAGTCTTATTATATCTGGTGTATGATATGGCAACCTGAAAGAATGAGCCACTGGGGGCACCATAAATCAACGTGGAGGATATTCTTCAGCCTATTGTTTTCTGAGAACGATTTGGAGGGCTGTTAAGCTGTCCCTGAATCCCTTCAGTACTCTCCTTGCTGATGCAATCTTTTTGAGGCAGGTAGCAGATTCTTATAGAGGGCAATAACAGAATTAGAGCAGTAGTTTCACTGATGCTTCAGAAATTATTGAAGCAACTGTAACATGGTTAGGAGAAGGTGAGCTCATTTGGTTTTTGCAAGCAGGCTTGTGCTCGATAGCTGTGCTCTGTGGTTTCCTTCTGGTCTGCTTCCGTCAAAGTACAGTGCTTCCTAAGAAGCAGTTCTTAATGTTTAAGAAACATTCTCCAGCCCAAAGCCTTATGTTGAGTGTTGGGTGTGTGTGTGTCAAAATACCATGCAGTGGGGGGATTGCATTAAGAATGAGGCTCACATGCTCTCTTGTGCTAGCAGAGGAAACTTGCAGGCTAGGTGTCTCGGAGTGCAAGAGAGATGAACACTTACACCAGTTTTCCCTCTTTACTGCAGCCAGTGCCACATTGGCATCATGAGACTTCCCCAACCCTCATCAGAGGCTTTCCAGGACATGCAGGGGACCTCTGGGGGAAAAGGAAAAATGGGGAGTAACTGTGTGACTTCCTTCTGCTTGTGGATGATAGGATCCAATCAGAGCTCAAAGATATGCAAAACCACATGTGCCTGAACCTGGATCAGCTCTGGTTAAATGATATCAAATAAATAGCTTTGCTTGTCACTATTAGGTGAAGCTTTGAGGACTGTAGAGTTAAACCCATAATTACAGGTGAAATGTTCAGGTAGTAGGTCACCCTTCCTTAATCTATGGTAGAGGCTAACTTGGCCTTTGAACAGCCTGTTCCTCTTGCAGCCTTTAGCACTTCATTTATCTTGATTGTATCAGCACAATGTAATTTATTGATATGCACACTGTACATTTGTTGGGAGCTGCCCTGTTTACTTTTGATGGCGAGAAGAAAACATGATATTCAGATCCATAAATGAAGACAGCTGTTCCAGCCTTCTCCTTTTCAGTTTGCCTGATTAGTAATCAATCATGTTCTCCTTGCCTGAAGCAAATAGTAACTCCAAGAGAAAATCTGAGGATAAAAAAGTTAACCCCTGCTTCTCCTATACTGTGGCTCATCCAATCTTAGTTGGGGGGGGGGTGTCCTATGGTTGCAACAGAGTAATAAAGGTCCTAATTGGACCATAACCCCTCCCTTGTTTCTGTTGTCTTTTAAACCATTAAAATTGATTGTAAACTCCTTGGGGCACACTACACCCATCTTGTTTTTCTTATGTTACTTACTTTGTAAGAGCCAGGTAGGTTACTGGATCTCCATAAATCAACCACATCATCCTGGAACTTGAGAGGAAGCTCTCCTCTTTAAATTCCTCTGGTTTCTCCTTCTATGGAAGAGTACTTTTGCATGTTACAATTTGTTAGGGAAATCACTTGTTCCTTGTTTGTCTTGTTTGGGATGGGTCGCTTGTGCCTTTTCCTTCAAGACCTCAATTTTCTACAGAT